ACGACTTGAGGGGCGATCCCGCTATTTAAGTGGGACAATCCCCACTTCAGAAATAGGCCTTATGCCATGTACCATTTTTTTTTTCAAGTGATATATATATATATATATATATATATATATATATATATATATTTTCGGTGTTTGGCAAAAGTCTAAGTCAAGTTAAAGTAAGTCCATCGAGTAGGGCATGTAAAATAGCTTGCTAAAAATTGATAAATAAGTTATTTTTGTTGTTTTTTATTAATTTTTTTTTTTCGTAAATATTTTACGACAACCAAATACCAGAAAATATTTTTCAAAAAATATTTTACGCTCAAAACAAACGGAACCTTAAAGTGCAAAGTAAGCGAAATAAAGTTTAAAGTTCCACCAGATTTTTCCCTGAGAGTTGAAAAAACCAGAGCCTTAAAGTGCAAAATAAACAAAATAAATTTTAGTGTCCCACCAGATTTTTTCCCGAGAGTTCAAAAAACTTCAGGACGTACTCCATCAAAATAATTCACCATGATAAGAAAAGTATTAATAATACTTTTTAGAAAAGTTAAGGTAAGAAATAACTTGGGAAAAATGTTTTGAAAATTTGTCTGCATATGCTTTTAGTAGTTCTTATAAGGGTTTCGATTTAGAGACGGAGTCAGAAATTTGACTCATGGGAGCAGGTTAATACGTAATAAAATAATTTGTTAGTAAAAAAATATATATATGTGGGAAAATTTTGAAAGAAAAAATTATAATTTGATTGAAGAAATAAAATACAACTTTCCTTGAAGAGAATAAAAAAATTGAAGAAAAATACTAAAAAGGGAAAGAAAGAAAGAAAAAAAGAATTAGAAGGATTTTTTTTTTTATTTTTTTTATTTATAAAAAAACATAATTTAGGGGGTCATTATGTATAATTTAATAAATTATATGCATAAAATATAAAATAATTTAATGGGCTAGCATGTCCTAGATTAATACCTCTGAAGAGCTTCATCGATGCATGCTATTGGAGTCTATAATGCCTAAAATGAGATTCAAAAAGATTTCTTTATGCATAAGTAACATACGAGTTTTAAATTTGTTAAAATAAGTTTGTATGCATGTATAAAAACCTAATGGATAAGCAACTACCTAAATAAGTTTAATAAACTTGAAAAATTAACTAATATAATATGTATGCATGAACTAAAATGGTGATAGATGAATTTATTGGTGTGATAGTATTTGTATATTCTCAAACTTGTAAACTTAACATCCTTGTCTTTTGATACAGATGAAGTTATCATCCCAAACACTAGATGATGTACGGTTGATTAAATAGGCAGCCGATTTCACTGCCTTACCCTAATAGAACTTCGGCATGTTCATGCCAAAGAGGGAAGCCCGAGCTATTTCCATAATCTGTCTATTCTTTCACTCAGCCAGTTCATTTTATTATGGAGTATAGGTCTAGTACTCTCCTGGTCGACCGAATGATCCCTCTGTCTATTGTCCAGTCCTCCTAGAAGTGGATCGTGGTGAGTAGATCTAGCTCGGTCATGGTGAATAGGTCTTTTGCAGTCGTGGTGGATGGATCCTGCATGTCAATAATGCGTGGAATCAGCACAATCGTGGTGGATGGATCCAATAAGATCGTGATGAGTGGAGCCAACTCGGTCGTGGTGGACAAAACCAGCTCGATCTTTCTGAGGATTGATCTCGTTTGCCGCTGCCTGATTCGGCGGTGGCGGTGGATGGTAGGGCTCTATTTCCCGCTCTAGTCGTAATCGGAGCTCAGCGTTCTCTCGGCGCAACATTTCCATGACCTCCACGTTTTCATTACACAGGGTCTGGATCAGATGCCAAAGGTCCTTGTGCTGATCATTCCAGCCAAGATCGTGGTTCTGTGTGCTTGCTTCTCCGATCATCATTCCGAAACGCAGCTGTATCATTAAATAGATTAGAAAATCACTTGTCGCTTTCCCACAGATGGCACCAAATGAAAGTGCAATAAATCTCTCTCTATATTCAGAAATTATATCTGTTACACTTCAATCGAATCCTTTACATTTTTGTCTCCTCTTCTATTTATAGAAGTTTATTTGTTGCCCTAATAAGCTCCTAGGCCTTTTTAGTCCTTAAGATAACATGGGCCTAATCCATCTTCAACGGGATCATCCTCTGTTTGGGTTAATCCCTAGATTAAAACATGCCTCACATAACAGAGAATGGGTTGGGAAATCACTGGGCTTCTGAATTGGTGGGTCGGGCCAAGCTTGCCTAGTGGGATTTTATGCCCCCTCAATTACACACTCTTTCTCTTCTCATAAACTAAACTCACTTTTTTCTCTCTATAATTATTTATTTCTCTCTTTACCCCTCTACCCAAAGCCATCTATATTTATAGAGTCTTCACAACCCAATTTCTTGTTCTATAAGAATCTTACAACTAGATTACAAGGAGTTATCATATCAGTCACAATTCTAAAATAGAAGCATCCCAAATGGAAAAGGAAACTAATTTTAATTTTGAGCGTCAAACCCAACAATCTCCACCTTGGCTTGAAATTCATCTTCACATGCTCTTCCATAACTCTACCTTGACTAGAGATCTCTCCACCTTGAACCTAATATACTCTTTTGTCCTTGCCATTCTTTGCCATTCCGCCACACTCATCTATTCCTAACAAATTCCAAGTCCAAAGAATTGAACCTGGAATCTACTTTCGCATCACCAAATCGAACTCTTCTTGCTTCTAGAATAAAGGTTGGTGCTCTTGCAATTGCCAAGACTTCTTCATTCTCTTGCCGCTTTTGATCGTCCAATCTAGTAGATCTCGCTTCCATTTGGGCTTTACAATTGCTCCACTTAGCATAGTATATCTATAGATATTATTAACCTTCCCTACCAAAAACATAACATGTGGTCCCGTATAATTTTCACCAATTCATTATTCACTTCCCACCAACAACCCTTGGAATTCAATACTCCCACAAAGATCACATTCCTTTTAACACTTGGAATATGATGTACATTCATTAAAGTACTTCCTAAACCATTCATTGTATTGATTTTGATTATTCCAATTATGATAACATCACAAGAAGCATTATTCTCCTTATATACCTTACCACTTACAGGTTTATAAGTAGCAAACCACTCCTTATGAGGACACGAATGGAAGGAACAAGCAAAATCAAGTATCCACTCCTTAGCTAGCTTCTCCCTTGTTGTCAATGATTAATAACACTTCATCATTATCACTTCATTATTTCGTATCCTCAGACACAACAATAGCAACAGACTTTTATTTCTTTCTGGATAGTATCACTGAATACACCACTTTCTCCCACACTTGTAGTAGCATATTTTCTCTGACAATGGCACAAGGTTTCTTGAAGCTCCAAATCTCTTCTTCTTTTGAGAAATATGAACTTGAGCCTGAACATTATGATTTTATTCATCATTCAACTTTTCATTAAAGAACAAAATACTATTAACTTGTTCCACCGAGATGGTATCTCTCGCACAAAGCAAATTATTGAATAAATGCTTATGAGTGGAGCGTACCGATGTTAACAAAATAATTGCTTTATCGTCATCACTTAACTTGACATTAGCATTAGATAAATAACAAATAATTTTGTTGAACTCACCAAGTTGTTCTTGTAGGCTTACCCCTTATTTTCTCCTAAAGGAATACAATTTTTGTTTCAAGACTAACCGGTTGGTGAGATTCTTTCTCATATACAATAGGGAGAGAGAAATAATTATAATCTTCAAAACTCAATTCCTTATTGTACAAAAATTTCACAACTAGACAATAAGGAGTTACTATATCAGTTACAATTTTAAAATATAATCATCCCAAACAAAAAAGTAAACTAATTTTAATTTTGAGCCACAAACCCAACACTTCGAAAGATAAGTCCACAAGTTTACAAAGAATGATAGCCCTTTTAGTATCGACATACATCTTTTGTTTTTCTGCGTGTGTGTGTGTAGAGATTTATAACTTCTCAAGTTTCGACAAAAGAGGAGAGATGAAATATGAGGAAGTAGGATTTGTTTTGTTTTGTTTTGTTTTTTTTTTTTTTTTTTTTTTTTTTTTTTTGTTTTGAATCAGAGAGAGCTAAGCTGATTTTGAAACAATCGAGGATAGAAGGTGGATAATTATGTGAATACTCTATCTCACCTCTCTTGTAATGTTATTCAATTAAAAAACACTGATAAGGATAATCTTGTAAAAACTTATAATTCCTTTATTTTTATTTTTATTTTTTTTTTTTGTCATTCAAAGGTACAAAGGCCAAAAGTCAAGATGACAGAGGTATAAAGGCAGGACAGAAAAGACATACAAATCTTAAAGCAAAGCAAATAAATGAAGAACATGCTCTAGATTTGTGGAGGAAATAGAGCCCAACACTCTGCAAATGAAACTACCACGGGAGAACGCAACAAACTGGAGAGACCAAAAGATCTGGCCATCAGCAAGGCAACCGTTTCAAAGCTACAACTACAAGGCGCTTCGACACACAAAAAATCCCGCACGAGATCAAATTAAGGGGAAAAAGAATAAATCGAGGCAGGGAAAACCAAAACTGATCTAGATCAGAGATCTAGTAGGAGGAAACAACAGATCCGCTCATGTAATCCGAAAATGAACCGAACATGAATACATCGAGCCGACAAAAAACAAAAACAGCGTAAAAAAAACTCACAAAGCGCATTTATTAAAATACGTCGAGTTTATTGTAATTGTGAGAGGCGGTCATCATCTCTCTGCTCCCATAAAAGGGACCGGGGAGGCTGAGTGACGAAGAAGACGAAGGGGTTAGAGAAAGTTGGGGGCGGCTGTCTTAAAGTAGACTATAATTCTGTTAATTGACTTCAGATTTGAAAGGAACTGTCTATATTCTTATCAATTAGAGATCTTATTACTGGATAAGGGGTAGAGTCTACATGGATCGACCCGACCCGAATTTGACCCAACTTATGAAGCTCAATCAACCCGCAAAACTCCAAACCATAAGAAACGAGAGAGAAACTAGAAACAGCAACACCGCCATTCCCAAACCCCTACTTCGATCACACGAAGCCCTAGAAAACGCTCTCTCTCTCTTTCCCCATGAAAATGCCCCTAATTACACCCCTAGCTCGCACTCATCATTCCCTCTGAATCACTCAATTCTCAAATCCAAAAACTCTAGGGTTTGTCTCTGCTGCTCCGTTCACGAAGATGTCTCTTCCGCCTGTTGAGTGTGTATACGTCACAGAGGACTGTATTCGAGAATGGAAGAATGGAAACCTTAGCTTCAAGGTTCCGAACCCGGTCCCAATGCTACGTTTTCTCTACGAGCTTTGTTGGACTACGGTATGTGATATATTTCAATTGGTTTTGGCTCAGTTTATGTTATCTTGGGTACTTTTAAAAGAAAAATCTTATTTTTTCTTGGTTTTTTTAATTGGTATCGAATCATGTGTGTTTTCGGTTTTAGGTTCGAGGTGAATTGCCATTTCAGAAGTGTAAATCGGCGTTGGATTCGGTTGAGTTTTTGGATAAAGCTTCAGATGAAGAGATGGGTTCGAATTTCGCTGATATTGTTGCCCAGATGGCTCAAGATGTGAGTGGTTTTGATTGCTGACCCAAAAAATGCTTAGTAAACACATGCATATAAATGTTGTTTTTTTTCGTTTTTTTGGCTTTAGTTTAATATCAAGTGACTTATGGGTAGATTTAAACTTGGTATCATTGTGGGTGGAATTCACTCTGTTGCCTTTTCATTGTGTGAGTTGGTGAGGCTTCGGTGTTTGAGATTATGGAAGTGTGGAATTCCAAAGCTGTAGTTTGCTTTTGGTACTCTTTTTTTTTGATAAGTTAAAAGTACCTTGATGGATAAAATGAATGGTACAAATGAAAACGAACTACGGTAATTTGTTGAGCAAGAAAAAAAAGGCAACATGTATTATGTAATCATGCAGGTGATGGAATTATGAATACATGAGTAGCCAATGTTGTTCGAGCTTAAAATATTTAGTGAAAGCATAAATTTTGTCACATTCCTTCAAAGATGTATGATCAGAACACTATTTTTTTTGGGATTCTGATATCTAATTGAATAAATTAATGGTTGCGAAGGCATTCTTAATTTCTGTATAATCCAATGACCCTAGGCAAGTCCTATGTTCTTGTCAATCTTTCATATCCTCACGTTGAGAAGCTCTGCGTGGATCGATAACATAAACCTAGAGAACAAGGGCTTGTTTGGTTTTATTATCTGAAAAAAGTTTTCAAGAAATCTGAAAATACAGGTTTTAAAGAATTATAAAGGACATTATATGAGAACAGGCTTTTTGTGTGTTGTTTTTGCAAAAAGAAAATAGTTCCTTTTTCGAAAACTGAACGAAGCAGGCCTGTAATCAAAGGACCACGCTGTAACAATATGAATTAGTAGTGTTCTGCTAGCACTGTTTTTCAGTGGCACTCCTTTTCCTAGAAATGAATTGTTTGATTTCAGGGATTATGGCCAAAGCTTTTGATCTGTTCAGAAAAGCTGTCTTGAGGCAAACGGCAGCAGTTCCTTATGGTTTTACATGGGCTTGGATTATTTATTTATTTATTTGTGTATGCTTATGACTAAGCTACAGAGTTGTCAAATTAATGAATAAAAAATGCATAGATACAATTATACGATCAATTTTTTTAAGAGGGGATCAGTTTTTGTAATAGGAAGGGCTGTTTGTTTGTGAAAGGAGTTGATGCTAGGTCAGTCGTAAAAATTGAAAACTCAAGCCTTCTAAAAGTAGGCCACTATGTACTGTGACCTAATATGCCAGAAATTTCATTACTAAACAACTAATAAACTAAACTGCAATTGAGAATGGGATCCCTACCGAAGAACTCTTATAATCTAGAAAATCTAACCAAAACAGCCACTCCTGAGAAATAAAGCTAGTGAAAATAATTAGTACCCCATAAAAAGAACCTTTGAAACTACTCTTTGAGGTGGAATTCATTTTTTATTTTTCTGCTAGAGAAGTCGTGAACAATGTGTTGCATGATGCTTACTATATTGTTAAATAACTTATCTGTTTTTCAATATGTTTTATAGTAGCACACAATCTTTTGATAAAATTGGTACTTTTACTTCTTCTTCTACTTCTTCTTTTAAGTAAAAGCTTTGTCTCATCTTTATGCGTTCATTCACCTACTTTGCAGCTTACAATGCCTGGGGAGTATCGTGCTCGTCTAATTAAATTGGTTAGTATCTAGTCAAACAACGCATTCTTGTTCTGTATATAATTTTATTAGTTTGAATTTGTATTTTTCATTTATCTCATTCAATACATGTACTGTTTTGGTGCACAATTTGTAAATTAAGTGTCTTTCAATTTAATTTTCAGAATGTTGGCTTGGTTTTGGGTGTGTTCAGTTCAGTAGTGAAATAGTTTGGAATTGCATTCTTTTGATGGGAATAATTTGGTCTTTGCACAGAGAGTAGGCTGTTTGTCCATGTTGGTATTCTTTTTTCCTTAAAATCTTGGGAATTGCTAAGGGAACAAATGTATGAGGCTGTTTGGCTACTGATGCAAATAAAGAATGGTGGCTTGAAAAAGTCAAAGAGTCATTCTATTTTTTGGGTACTAAGTAGTAATAAAGCTTTGTAATTATTAAGTGTTTATTTAGGAAAGTGGTAAAAATGTTATCAATGCTTTGTGGGTATTCTAAAAGCCGTTGTAGGAGAAATCAAGACTCATTAGAAGTTATATTAAAAAATGGACAACTTTTTATGCTAAAACAAGTCTTAATCAATATAATTTTGAGAAATTATCTGATTAATAACTTTTAATCAGTTTTTTCTCAGATTTTCCTTTAGAAATCTAGGCTCCAACCGTGATTGGATCGATTATAGTCCATTTTGAGGACTTTCTTTTCTTTCTGTTTGCTTCAAGTCAAGTGGTATCAGAGCCTTTCCTTTATGATCTGTGATTATTATGGATCTATGACCAAACAAGGAAGCTAGCCACAAAAAGAAGACCTTGAGAATCTGCAACATCAAATTTCTTGACTAAGCACTATATTAGAACAACATGGAATCATTTCTCTTCTTAATTTGGACATTGGGAGACAAAGGGATCAGCGGATAGATGTATATCAATGTGAAAATTGGACAAAATAGTGTAGTATATGAAAATTTCAGCAGCATAAGCAGTTCAAAAGTGCAAAACAGGGTGCTGCCACATTAATTAAACAATCACAAAACACTTGGGCAGCAATGGCCAACCATTCTAAATATCCTAAATAGAATAATAGCTTATAACTATTAAGTATTTTAATCTAAAGTTAATAGTTGAAGAATCCTTATGAACACTAACTAATAATAAGTACCAAGGAGCTGTTGGGGAGGAGGAAGTGCTGGAAGCTCTAAGGAGTTGCGACGGAGATAAAGCTCTGGGTCCGGATGGGTTTACAATTGCGTTTCTCCAAAAGAATTGGGAGGTGGTGAGAGCGGATGTGATGAGAGCCATTGATGCCTTCTTTGAGGAGGGCTGTTTTGAGAAGAGTTTGAATGCCTCTTTCATTACCCTTGTTCCTAAAAAGGGTGGAGCGGTTGAAGCTAAGGCTTTCAGACCAATCAGTTTGGTGGGCTTTGTTTATAAGATTATTGCGAAGGTCTTGGCTATTAGGCTAAAGAAAGTTTTGGATGGGGTCATTTCGGAGTCACAAAATGCATTCGTTGGAGGAAGCAAATTCTTGACCCTGTTCTTATTGCTAGTGAATGTATTGATGCTAGATTCAAGAGTGGTGAGCCGGGGATTGAGTGTAAATTGGATATTGAAAAAGCCTATGACCATGTGAATTGGATGTTCTTATTGTATTTGTTGGAGAGGGTGGGGTTTGGAACCAAATGGAGGGGGTGGATTCATCAATGTATTTCGACGGCTTGCTTCTCTATCTTAGTGAATGGGTCACCAGCATGATTCTTCGCAAGCTTGAGAGGTTTACGTCAGGGGGACCCTTTGTCCCCATTTCTCTTCATTATTCTAATAGAAGCCTTGAGCAGACTCATGAAAAGGGCAGAATTATGAGGCTTTATTCAAGGTTTTTCGGTGGGGCGGACGCCAAATCAGATTGTTACATCTCACTTGCTGTTTGCTGACGACACTATTGTTTTTTGCGATGCGAGTGTGACTCATTTGAGGCATTTGAGGTGTGTACTGGCCTATTTTCAAGTTGTTTCTGGGCTGAAGATTAACATTGGCAAGAGTGTGATTGTTCCAGTGGGGGAGGTGGATCACATTCATGATTTGGCAGCGGAGTTGAGTCTTTTCCGTTTTCGTATTTGGGGTTGCTCTTGGGTTCTTCTACGAGGAGAATTGCCGTTTAGGATTTAGTGGTGGAACGTTTCCAAAAGTGGTTATCCGGGTGGAAGAAGCAATACTTGTTGAAAGGGGGTAAACTCACATTGTTGAAAAGCACCATCTCTAATCTTCCTACATATTTTATGTCTTTGTTTCCGATTCCTAGAACAGTGATTAGCAGACTTAACAAGATTCAGGGGAATTTTCTGTGGGGGGGTTTAGGGGAGGAGTTCAAGTACCATCTTGTGAATTGGGAGAAAGTCCGCACCCCTATTAAAAGAGGAGGTTTGAGAATTCGCAGGTTGGAAATGTTTGATATTGCTTTGTTAGGGAAATGGTTGTGGAGATTTGGGTGTAAAAGGTCCGTGCTTTGGAGGCGTGTTATTGCTTATCGGATTGGGGAAGAGGAGGGAGGTTGGATGTCTAGAGCTGTGTCTTCATCAGCAGGCATGTGCTCATGGAAAGGTATTAGGAAGGGTTGGGATGAGTTCTCTATGCGGATACGGTTTAGAGTTAGGAATGGTTGTCATGTGAGGTTTTGGAAGGATTTATGGTGTGGGGATGTGGTGTTGGCTTGTAGGTTCTCTAGTCTCTTCAGGATGGTTGAGGATAAGTATGCTGTAGTTGCAGATTATTTTCGGCTTGAAAATGGGAGCTAGTTGGGATGTGAGTTTCCGTAGAAATTTCAACGATTGGGAGCTGCTGGAATTTACATATTTAATGGGATTAATTTATAGTCAAGCGGAGGAGGGGGAAGGAAGGGATGAGATGGTGTGGATGGGGGGTTTTGGAGGGGTGTTTGAGGTGAGGTTGTTTTACCAAAGCCTTACGGATTCGATAAGCAATGTTTTCCCTTAGAAGGCTATTTGGAGGACTTCAGCTCCACTGAAGGTGGCTTTTTTCATGTGGACAGTGGTGCTTGGCAGCATTCTTACTCTCGATAATCTTAGAAGAAGACGCCAAATTACAGTTAATTGGTGTTGCATGTATAAGAAGACGGGTGAATCGGTTAACCATCTCTTGTTGCACTGCAAAGTGGCAACGGAAGTTTGGAGTATGGTCCTGAATGTTTTTAGGGTTGATTGGGTTGTGTCAAGGACCACGATGGATATGTTAGTGGCTTGGAGAGGGAGACCAGCGGGCAGCCGTGTTAGAAAAGCTTGGAGGGTAGCCCCTCTTTGTGCATGGTGGGGATTGTGGCATGAGTGGAATAGGAGATCTTTCAATGGAAAGGAGTCGCCGGCGTGGGTTATTAAGTTGAATATTTTGCTTTCTCCTTATTTTTGGGTTATTGGGAAAAATTGTTCATCTTTGGATAGTTTTTTGGATTCTGTTGACAACTTATCATTGTAATGGCGCTTTTGGCGTCTTTTGTTTGCTTTGTTAAGGGTTCGCTCCCCTTTGAGCGCCTTTGTTAATATATGTTTACTTGTCAAAAAAAAAAAAGAAAACTAATAATAAGTACCAAAAGGAGTGCAAAATAAAAAGTATTTCATTGAACAATGACTTAATATTATATAAAATTCATTATACACTTATTTCATGCTAATGTGTTGAGCTGAGTATAGACGCTTTTTTCCTCCCCAAAAAAGCCTATTTGACTTCCTAGCTATACTTTTTTTTTGCTAGCGGTTCCAAATTCAATATCTTTTTCATTCAATCTACTCTTTCACAAATGGATCCGATCGGAAATGTTTTTATAGGTCTTCTGATATATATGATACACGCACAAATGAACATCTTTGAGCATGTAATCTCCATTTCAATGATTTGTGGTCCATATCAGTACGAGTACGGTAATTTACAAAGTCTTCCTTTTAAGAAATTCCAGGGGCTGGATAAGACTTTGTAATATCCTTTCGCCCTTTTTTTAATTGACATAGGCTCAAGTCATCTAGTAAAATGAGGATGGTGCATCAGGAATGGTTGGGATAGCTCAGCTGGTAAAGCAGAGGGCTGAAAATCCTCGTATTACTTATAAAAGAAAAATTCCATCAACAATCATTAAATTCCCAATTTATGGGATTCTAAGGTTTGTAATGGATACAACTCTTATTTGGATTAGTTGTGTGCATCAGAAAACAAATAAATAATTTACAGCTTCAATGTCCGTGTCCGTTATGTAACGTCCATTACACACCACGTCCACCAGCGACCACAAGTTATAACTTTTGAGTTGCCAACCTTTTTATCAGGAAAAAAACTCTTTATTGAAACCTTATGTCTTAAAAAAAAAAATTCCTTTTAGTGGTTTCCCATTGCCAAAGCTTCAAATTTTGGAAGTTGGTTTTGACTTTGGGATCTTATTGTTGGTTTATGAAAATCCACTTAATTCTAAGAGGAACAGATTAACTCAGTTTGTGCAAGCTTTGATCGAGTTAAGTTCCAGCAATTCTAAAAAATGGACCAAATATGGAAGGATCACATATAAACCATGATCTCTGAGTTGGAATATATAAGTACATTGTTATAGATTTTTTAATTGTGTTCCATAAGAGTGTTGCAGCCTCCATAATAGCATTAATACCAATCTGACTTATAGTGGTTTCCCATTGCCAAAGCTTCAATTTTTGGAAGTTGGTTTTGACTTTGGGATCTTATTGTTGGTTTATTTTTTTTGATAAGTAATAATCAATAAAAAGCGTTGAAAGGGGAACGCGGCCCAAGTACAAAGCCAAAAATGATGCCTAAGGACCCAATGAGTCCAAGGAATCAACTAAAATCATCGGGGTAGGAACAAGATCTCCCCTTAACATAATAAAAGATAGAACGAATAATATGAAGTTTCAGCGTAGGAAGAGGCAATTCTTTTCCTTCGAAAATTCTGTTATTTCTCTCTTTCCATATACCCCACCAGACACAGTGTGGAACTATCCTCCAATAATCTCTAACGTGACT